GACGGTTCTTCTCAACATTTACCCAACTGATGGTCCTTTGCATTAGTATTCTCATTAGCGAAAACTCTTACACTGAGGATTTGGCCCCAATTTGATATGCTCTAACTCGACCTAGCCTTCTATCGTTCCGAGATAGGTACATTGTTACCTTCTAAACTCATTCGGACACTTCACACTTATTTTGTTACAATTCCATCCTGTCATATTCTCATGCTCACACCAATGCCTCCACCATGAGAAAACCTCCACGTGTCTCCTGCCAAGATGTAAGGCTTGACTTCACTCACTCTTATTGCCTAATCAGGAACGGTACTTATGTGACCTCCTCCAACTGGAATGAGGTGTACATTTCCATACGCCTCAAAATTCTGAGCTCATATATGTTTTCATTATCTTAAGGATTCGCTGAACCTAGTTATGAAGCCAGAAGTGCAGTGGCAGTGGTCTGGACTTTCAAGCAAGAAGTCCGACAACTCATCAAGTTTCCTTTTTTGTTTTCCAGGGTATTAAGCACGTTTTCTAGGCTGAGTTAAACGAATGACCTTACTGTTACGTTTGAAATGCATTTGTTAACTGCAACACTAAGCTGCAAACCTTAAAATGCCTCCATCGAACGACGGTCGCATCTCTGCCTGGATGGTGAGGACAAACGAGACGAATACTGAAGTGAGATTTCGATCGGGATTTACCACTCTCAAATGAACGCGGTCGCGTCTAAAATTGATACTTAACAATTTTCAGCTCATGAGAGAACAAGTAACGTTTCAAAAACCAGAAAACAGGTTGAGGATTCAAACCGGTTGGCATGCCTTATACAATTAGCACTTTTTCGAGACTGTACTACAGTGAAAGAGAAATTTTTACTTTTCGAGAACCAGAGAAGAGTTGGTTGCTGCAAATGTTGGTCGACCACGTGCTCCGACGTTCACTTGGAAGTAGCATTCTGTGCACAGGGTCGTGAGGAATTCCCTGCAAAAAGGAATTCAAGTGTAGAATTGATAGCATTTGCGCAGCTCAAATTCGCACCTAAGACTACACCTGCAGAAAGAATCATAGGGAAATCTTAAGATAAAATATTTGCTAC